GTTGAGAGCAAACATACGACAATTACACATACATACTTTGTTCACAATGCAAAATACTTTCTCTCAGAGCGTCTAAAATATTTTATTACTAGTAACGAATCAGTAAAACGAAGGGGAGAAATTGATAGTTGATAATACGTTGCAGTATGTTCTGAGCGAGGCCGCACCGGTACACTATCGTAAGCCGACCTCACGCTATGAATGGGATCCAAAGCGACGCACAATGATCGAGACTGAGGTCTGTTACGCCACATAATTTCGCTGTATTTGTTTTACTATTTATAAAACCTGAGTGCTAAAAACGGCTTATAAATTCTGTAAATTTAAAAGGGAATCTGAACTGTGGTACGAAGCACAGCAGGGCACAGCATGCGGAGCTTTAAACATCCCTCAGAGCTCTCTCCCCAGCCATATAACCAGGTATTGTTGTGGGTAGACTCGTGAAGAAAGCTATTCAATTTGATGATTAAGCTCTTTTCCGCTGTACGTAATCCACTTTTGGCATTTTTTGCTAAAGCTTTAAATTTACGGCCAAAAAAAATTAATGTACAAAGCAGTATAACACAATGGGGAATTTGTACTTACTTTTTTCAGGATTATCCAATAATCGGTTTCCATCCTCCGGAAGCCGACCGAGGTTTATGGGGTGGTGAAACAGTCGTGAAGGGTTACGTTGAATCGCGGCCATTTACAAGAAAAAAGGTAATTTCCTGAGAACTGTCTAATTTATTGTTTTCTATAGTGTGCTTTTAAGCCGGAATTTTGGGATTTTCCAGCTTTCCAGTCTCATTTATACATATCAGTGGGGAAGGGCGTTTGTTTATTTTTGTCTTTTAATTTCGGAAAATGGGAGGCAAGGTAGGGTTGGAAGGTGGTTTGCAGGTCTTGATTGATTCTGATGAATTTCCTAGGCTAGTTCATCACGCACGCAACATACAGCCTAACAGGACTGTTGAATTTACTGTTTTTTAGAGTTAGAAATGTAGTTTTGGAGTATCGCTGTAGTAAAAAAATTTTTTTAATTATGACTGATTGTTCCTTTATGATTATACTTATCTTTGTGTTTGTCTTTTTTCATGTCTGCGCGGATTTGTGAAAATCTTGTGATTTAAACATCTTTCGTTTGTCTTTAAAATTGTAGCCGATACGTCCCGGTTCGTAGCGTTGGTTGTCCGAAAACTTTAGGCCTTCTGACGTACTGGAAATATTTTAAGTTTTTTGTATTGTTTTATATAATAGGCGAAGTAACTGGTTATGAATTTGTGGTTCAAATTCTACAGCGCAGTGAGGTGATGAGCCTGCTTAGTACGAATAGCTGGATAAATATAGCTCAGAAGCGAAGATTCAGATAAAAATTGCTCTCACCGTATGCACTTCAGCTGTAGATTTGATACATATTCGCTTCCTGGCCACTGCAGAAGTAGCTGGTCAA